AAATATAATTGGGTTGATTTTCACTATTAAAGCAATAAATGACTTCATTTTGAGAGTGCCTCTAAGCAGTACCTCACCTCAATGGGGGCCTCACCAATCAATGGGGTTAATACAGGCCTAGTTTCTGTTAATGAAAACTCATTGACATGATAAACACAAGGCCTACCTTCTGCCATAAAATTCACTTGAAAAACAGAAACTGACATCAATTTATAGAAGAAAACAAATAAGAAATGGAAGACCTTTTAATTTAATTATACTGATATTGTTGAAGTTAATTGTGCTTTTCAGGATGTCCGGGGAAGAAGAAAGTCACTCTGTCACCCTGTTCTTTCCTATTTTCCCCATTCATTCAGGTTATTACTGAAAATATTAGCTCCTCAAATTGCATCTCTGCCCCCTAGTGATTCATATTGATTGGCGTGGCCAGTGCATTTTGACTTCTTATAGTTGGCACTAGTTTAGAAACACAGGTACAGTCATGCAAGAGACAGTAAGGTGAGAATTTAAAAAAAAAAGAACGAACTGGGGCCAGTGAGTAATAGATGAGGAAAACATCCTCCAGCAATTGGGGGTTGAGTTCCTTTTTTCCACCTCCCCCTCTCCAACAAATGCAAAGCCCTAAGGCATTTGGCCTTTAGTAGAGGAAGTGAAGAGGTTTTGAATTGTTATAGTAAAAAGGTGATGTGGGTGGAGTAATGTGAACCTGGCAAAATATCTGAGCTTTGCTTTTTACTTTATTAAAGAAACCCTGTCATTATGTTTTATAGATGATAATAATGAAGATGAATTTGGAAGAAAGTTGAGGTTCCTCTTGCAACAGCTTCCACCTGTTAATTACAGTTTGTTAAAGTTTCTGTGTAGATTTTTAGCCAATGTAGCATCACATCATGAAGAAATTTGGTCTGCAAATTCTTTGGCTGCCGTCTTTGGTCCAGATGTCTTTCAGTAAGTTGTTTTAAAAACTTTTGTTTAAATTTAAAAAATTGGATTTGTGAAATAGAATCATTATATTCCAAGGATCATAGGTTGCTTGATGCACCATTTTTATAATAGTAGATCTGATTAATCCTCACAGCATTTTAGTGAACAGAGTACAAATTAGGTACGTTTTACAGATGGGAAAACTGAGGCGCAGAATGATGACATAATTGCTTAGATTCATAAAGTGACTCATTGGTTGTCTTCTAACTTCACCTGTGATTGGTTTTAAGAACTCTCAATTCAATTTGGACTTTTATTATTAGCATTTACACAGATGTGGAAGATATGAAAGAGCAAGAAATAGTGAGCAGGATAATGGCTGGACTTCTGGAAAACTACTATGAATTTTTTGAGAACGAAGAGGAAGATTTTTCATCTAATGATTTGAGTTCAATTACTGAGCAGGTGAGAATATTTTAAATATTCTATTTGGAGGGAGAATTTTTTAAAAGAATAATATGCTCTTCAAGGCTTGACAAAAACTTGTATGGAATTTAAGTACTGAATTGAAAGTAATTCTTTTGGTTATTATATGTAATCAATAGGTGACATCCATGTAGTATATGGATGTGATTCTTTTTTTTTTGAACAACTTCCTGTCCTCAATAATTTGGGTAATGAGGAAAAGGCATTGAAATCAGAGCATACAGTAGAGATTTTTTGTTTTTAGCTTAAGCACTGTTTATTTTTAAAAATAGCACGTTTTTTTATTTTTACAAAGAAACTGTGCTAGCATGGAGAAATGTAGGCAAAGGTGAGAAATTTAAGGTGGAGGAAAAGATTCAGTACAAACTAAAAAATTCAAAGTTTTTCTTGACTAAAATAGCAACTCAATGTAGTAGTACAATCATTGTCATTAATGGGAAGCATCTGGAGTAATAGTTTAGGTGGCAGATAATTTTTTAATTCTGATGACTCTAAAATATTAAAATCTATTTCTGAGGTTACATTATAGTCTTTTGTTGTTACTGCTGTGCCCTAATGGTTGAGATTGTACAAAGTTCCCAGTTACTTTGTCCTTTATGAAATGAGAATAATGAAGCTAAGTAATTATAATTTATTATAAAGCTACATTAGTCCAGACTACCCATGCTTAAAATTTGTGATTTAGGTCTATGTGGAGGCTTTTCTTATGTGCTTAAGAAACAGAAAGTTTGCCACAAAACTTTTATTAAGTTAAAACCTATGAAGTTGTTTGTATTTTAAGTGTGAGTTGGGGCTGCTCCTTTTTTTAAAAGGAATAATAATAGTAGTAATAATTTACCTGGTTAAAACAGTAAAGTATAATACACAGTAAAATGTCTTGGTCCCACCCATACTCTTTACTTGTTCCCTGTCTTCGCCCCATTGGTTTCTTACGTGTTTTTCCAGAGTTTTTTAAAATACAAATACAAGTAAATATTTTCTCATTTTTTTAAAACAAGAAAACATACCGTACACATGGTTCTGTCCCTTGTTTTATATCATCAGTTAACAGAGTATCTTGGAGATCTTTTCTTAAGAGTGTAGAGAGGACATTCGTTTGTGTTTACATCTTTGTAGTTTCCTATCGTGTGGATAGAACCTTGCAATTTATTTGAGTTATATTTAATAGTATCAGTCCCCACTTGAAAAGGTGATAGTACATTCCAGTTTTCTCAGAAAAGTCTTGGTTTATATCTGCTTTTGGCATAATATTTAGTGGCTTCCCTATCACTCACATATATCGAGATTTGGATGATAAATTATATGGTCACACTGTTCATTAATGAACATTTGGGTTGCTTCCCTTCATTTGCTGTGAGATTATAAAGCATTATCACTTGAGAGGTAGTTTATCATACAGCTTTTCATTAGTTAATAGTTCTTGTATCTGATTATATAAATTGGGGGTTTTATTTTCTGGGTAGTCCAACTTTTATTTAAAAGAGTTTCTGTACATTTTTGAATTTTTATGGTAATACTTTGTCTGATTTTTCCTCTTTTCCCTTTCTTTCTATCTCTTCCTCTTCCCATCCTCTCTTTTTTTTTTTTTTTTTTTTTTT